ACATAAAACTTTTTAAAAAATAAAATTATATTTTTCCTGGTTCAAAATTACACTATAACTCAAGTATTACAGAGTTATGAAATTAAAGTATTTACTCACAGAAAGATGCCAAAGCTGTTGGATCCAGGGCAAAAAAATTTCGGATTGCTACTGATGTTTTAGCAAAGTCAATCCTACAAAATACAAAAGTGTCTTGTCACAGTGCAATTGTAAACTTCTTAACAAGACTTTACTTTCCCTACCACAGTTTTTTCCTTCTCTATTCTAATGCTACCACATACACTGTTTATTACTAGGCTTTAAGTAGCTACAGGTTATACTTACTACACGTGAAAAATATCTTATATACAAAAGCCACATAAAACATCTAACTAGAAGACTAATTTAGGCAACATTCCTATAGAGTTAAGACATCCTGAAGAAACAAATTAAACTTTATCTGCAAAATTTTATTAGCTTCTTACCTCTTTCTATTATCTGTATCATTGAGCTATAACTAGGTGTATTTTAAATGGGCTGAATTATGTTCCCAAAAAGATATGTTGAACTCCCATCCCCTGGTACTTGTGAATGTGACCTTATTTGGAAACAAGGTCTTTGCAGATAAAGATAAGGTCATTAGGATGAGCCCTAATCCAGTATGACTGGTGTCCTTATAAGAAAAGAAGAGATACAGACATGAGATACACAAGGAAGAGTGCCATGTGATAACAGAGGCAGATATTGGAGTGATGCATCTACAAGCCAAAGAATGCCAAGGACTGCCAGCAATCACTGGAAGTGAGGGGAGGGGCATGGAACAGACTTCCCCTCAGAGGCCTCCAAAAAGAAACCAACCTTGGCCACATCTTCCTTTCAGACTACTAGCCTCCAGAACTGTGAAAGAATAAATTTCTGTTGTTTTATGCCAGCCAGTGTGTGGCACTTTGTTACAGCAGCCCTAGAAAACTAATACAATGCCCTGAGTCTTACCTATACCTGATTTAATTGATTTTGAACATGGTATTTGGGTCTTTTTCAGTTGATTATATTTGGATGAAATTTTGGACTTATGAGTTGATGCTGGAATGGGTTAAGACTTTTGGAGATATTTTGTTCACGGTAGTTCCATCCCACCAAAAAAGAACAGAAACAGACTGGTTTTAAAAATGATAAAGTAGTATTAATATCCTACAAATCTATTTTGAAAACTGTCACAGCCAGTGACACATTTTGCTCAACATTTCGTTAGAGGGATCTGCAATCACAACAGTGTTACCTGTCAAAAGCTGAAATTGTACTTAGAGCCAAAAGCAAGTAGAGAAGACTCTGGAATGGATACGCTAGGGTCTTGTATTGTTGTAGAAGGTTTGAGAGGTTAGATAGCTGATCTCCTGCTAGGACATATATCACAACAATATTCCACACAGCACAGCCAGCCAAGAATCCATGAGAAAAGAGACCAATCATCCTGAATGGAAAAAGGTTTAATTATTATACATGAATTACTGAAGTAAAAGGTATTTTTTAAATCTCTTCACATGTAAGAATAAAATTCAATATTTCATGAAAAGTAAAAATAAGCGTTTTCTTTTTACTTACACTAATAGGCAGATCACTTAATTCCAATGGAATGTTTAAAAAATATTCCTACCCACCATTTTAAGTTGTCAATTTTGTTAACAGTATTGAACAGCCAAGACTCTTTTTTAAAATTATGGAAGCCATGTAACATTTGTCTTAAGAAAAGTCCAACAATAGTAGTCACCTGAAGGCCCGGTGCACTGAAAGTGCCACATCTCTGGTGGTCCAGGAAGGCTTCATGTCCATTGACACATCTATGTTTTCTGTGGTCTTTATCAACTCTGAACGGTCAGCAGCTTGGAATCGTCCTAAGAACATATTAACGCAATTACTAATAACCAGCAAACGAGAACCTTTTTTCATTATTCCACACTCAAAAAACCTCAGACTAAGACTGAAATTTTGCTGTTTTTCTATCTACAAATTCTCTTTGAGTCAGTACCTAGTTCAGAGGGCTCTTTTCTCTTGGTTGCTTAAACATACTACTTTTTCATCTATGGGAAAAATTAGCAATGTCACTATACTTTCTTCTCAGCCCAAAATGAATGTTAAGTAACAATTTTAGAAATCAATTATATTTAATGAAATATAATAATGAACTTTCAACTCAGAATAAAGTCTAGAAACCTTTAACATGACATCCTCTACAAAATCCTACTTTAGAGACTCCAGAAGTATTAAGGCTTAAATGCCTATACTATTGGGGTAAGTCAATACTTGAAAACTACTTTAACTTCCTTAGTAAAAGATGTCAGGGTGTGTAGCACGGCTTTCTGACATGACAGAAAAGAAATGGGCTGTTTTATAAATTTCTCTTTAGAAGATTCTTGTGAAAACTATCAGTTCAAGTGTCAGCACGGCAATAGTGCATGAGCAGGGCTTTATTCTGCTGATGAGCAGGCTCCTTCTTGTATAATCTAGTAATACACAAGTGGACCTTAGAAGGCAGGAAAGGTTCCATTTTAATTACCTTCACGAAACCCAGCTCTCAGGTGTTTTGGAGGATGAAGGCAAGGGTGTGACAGTTAATTTTCCCTAAGAAAAGACAACTTCTGGACAGACAGCAGAACCACTGGTACCTTTTATGGTCACTCTAGTTGGGAAGATTCTATGCTAAGGGAGGCAAGAATAAAAATGAGGATTGAGTGATATTGCTTAAAAATAGACTGGAGTCAATTAAATGGCCACATGGTATACCAGTAAAAGCACTTGACTAGAAGTAATGAAACCTTGGTTTAAGTACTACGTCTACACTAACCAACTTTAAGAAACTGGGTAAATGAGTTAGCCTCTCCAGCCACAGGTTTCTCATTGGCCAAGAACTCCAAGATCTCTCAGATGGGATCTTATGAAATCAGAGTCCTAAAACAATTTACACAAAATCCAAATTGTAAATTTTAAGGACTAACCTTTATGTTTCAGATGAGTAGTTTAGGCAGCATATCCATAGCAAATCTATGGGAGTAGTATATGATCATGATCATGCTTTGGGTAGGTTTTTCTTAAAACACTGTGTTACAGACTGAATGTGTCCCCCCAAGATTCGTATGTTGAAGCCCTCACCCCCAATGTGATGGTATTTGTAGGTGGGATCATTGGGAGGTAATTAGGTTTAGATGAGGTCATGAGGGTGAGGCTCCCATGATGAGATTAGCACCCTTTTAAAAAGAGGAAGAGACATCAGAATTCTCTGTCATGTGAGGACACAGTGAGCAGACAGCCATTTGCATGGCAGGGAGGGGCCCTCACCAAGAAGCAAATCTGTCGGTACCTTGTCTTGGACTTCCCACCTTCAGGAACTATGAGAAATAAATGTCTGTTGTTTATGCTACCCAGTCTACGGTATTTTGTTACAGCAGCCTGAGCTAAAACACATTGCAAACCTAGTCTTATATCCAATACATGTTATACAATATCAGAATCATTTTCCAAAAGAATATACAGCTATAATATTGTATTTCTTACTTAATACAGTATACCATCATGAATTTTCTCTCACTTATTGTTACTTATATAATTTATATCATTACCTGTCCCACCAAAACAACCACTACCAACTGCAGAAAACTGGTAAAGTACAACACAATATAAAGAAACAGGTGGAGGCCAGGCATGGTGGCTCATGCCTATAATCTAAGTACCAGGGTGGGAGGATCACTTGAGGTCAGGAGTTCGAG